TGAATCGTACGAAATCTTCAGGCAATTCAAATTTTCGGAAGAGTTCCGAGTATTGAATCGCAAGTGAAGTACTGCATTTCGTCAACTGCTATTTTACATTCCTCATATATCAGATGTTGTTGATTTGAACACGGATACAACAGGCAATTATCGCTTACAATTCAACTAGGATACCAAAACACATGAGATGTAATTTAGTTCAGTACCGTTCATAAGAGTCAAAATACCAGATGCAGTGCATTTGTATTAGATTAATGTTGATGAATGAAAATGTACTTGCTGATGTTATTGAAAGTAGCAATTCTTTCTTACAAGCATCACAATGAAACGTATCACAGTTTGAGAAATGCACCTCGTAGTGCCACTTGTAAATGATTAACAATCTCCGGCATTTCTGGTATGATTGGAACTTTGTGTATAACAACTGCATACTTTTCAAGAATTCGCTCGATGAATTTTCTAAACACGTGGTGATAAGAGGAGAAGGAGAAGAAGACGAACAAAGCATGATCATGATCAATAACATCTGAGATTGGGTATGCTTGGAATGTTCCGCGATATCAGAAGAACATTTGGAATAACAACACATTCCAGTCGTGAATTCTTTGCTGTTTATTTAGTAATCAAATAAGTTATATTGTAAATGTGTCAATGAACATTTGAACATGACAAAACCATATCACGAGATTTTTTTTGAACACTTGTATTTGCTTGATCGGTGACACATTCATCCATCCTCTATAAATTTCTCAAAATGAATTTTTTCATCAGTAGTCAAGTGACTGGCTTTTTCAGCTTGTTCGAAACGTTATGCGCAAGTTGTCCTCGTTTCTCACTTAATTGTTTTTCGTTTGTGCAGTTAGAATTATTTTGACGTATTTGTTTTTTTTTTTTGGAATTGATATAGCAATGTAGAAACGTTATCGTTGGAATGTTAGCATCCTTGGAATTGGAATCATTAAAATTCGATATTAGTGAAAATGAATCGTTTGATTAATGCAAACGATTATTTAGCACAATAGAACAGTTGAACGAAAGTCGTCAAACGAAAAAATCTGATCATGAAAGTTGCGGGCGCAATATGTATGTGCATTCTATACAATACTCGTCAACTTTGCCGATTGTTCGATTAAAATCATCTCAATGTATCATCCATTTGTATCTCCATTGAAAAACTCTGTTTAGGAGTTTATTTAGAATTTTTTTTTCAGAAGTGTATTCAAAAATTCAGTGTATTTAAAAAACTTCATTTCGAATCTTTTCAATAAATAGCCGCCTAATTGGAAGTTGGCAGTGTCCTCAGTTTTTCTCTTACTCAAACGACTTCAAATTCGCTTAGCAATCACCGTTCAGTGTGATTATGTTGAAGAATTTGTCGATATCATCGTCTGAAAAAATACTCGTTAGTGATGGTAATCAAATAAAGTTGGGTCGGTAATATCTGACGAAAATTCCATTCTGTCAAAATTCCGAGGTTCGGATTCTGACCGAGAAATTTTGATATTCGGTCGGAATACCAATTTCGGAATGTTGAAAAGTCGATTGGGCCGGATTCCTTCCGACTGAACTGAGATTTCGTTCGGATGTCATCACTGATACTCACTGTTTTGAGCAATCTTTACATGGTGTTTTATGAAATTGAAAGCTGTCTGATGCACTGCGCGCATACTCACTGAAAAAGTCGTCTATGGTTTAATTCATAGTGTTTCATAGAAACGAGTAGAATCAGAGCATGAAAGTTGTTTTGATATGTTCGTTGGATGTTTGATCGCTTGATCTCGCTGGATAATCACGTATCAGACACTCTCACTCGGATTTTACATCAGATTACCACCATTCAGCTATAAACAAAAACACCAATTCAGCCAACACACTAACATATTCTGAAAGATTACGCGCCAGAATAATGTAATCTAACAACAGAACAATCCATTACTCCAGTTTGCTACTTTTAAACAGTATTTCATGGACGACGAAGTAGGCGGCAGATTGGGATCATTATTATGTTTTTTACATCTATCAGAAGTTATTAACCTGACGTGAATTACTCGCAACGATCCAGTTCGGAATAGAAATCCACAAATAACAGCCATTATACTTTGTTTCATTCTGCTCTGATCCGCTTTATCTGATCCGTTATGAGCGNAACTTTGAGTCTGAAATTTTAATTGTTGCCCGCAACGTTACTTTCTATTTTCTATTGCAGTTATTGTTACGATTCGACGGCACACGGGCTGTAGGTGTGCGTAAACATCTGCATAAAACTTTTCAAAACGGTCTACGGTAATTCTTCTTTATTCCACTGCACGCTTCACTCTATACTCGACTCGTAGTTACTGTATAATAATTACTGTACAAAACTACCTCTCGTCTAAATTATGACCGAAGTGAAAAGAGGTCAATGGAACAGCGAAGTGCAATTCATGTTAACGTGCATTGGCTATGCTGTTGGTCTCGGTAATATCTGGCGGTTTCCATATCTTGCTTACGAAAATGGTGGAGGTCAGTTTTTGAATCGAGTTTAATTGCTACAATATCCAAAATTGTTGCCGCACACGACATGATGTTGTATTGAATGAGCGGTTGCTTTACTGCCAACGGTGTACCAAGCTCAGTGCATGCTAAAACATGGTCCATTAACCACTCAATAACTCTATCCGTTAATATGATCGTGAAGGTATTGGTAGGACTGGGATCTGAGTTCATTGGAGAGTCGCTTGTTGTTTTCAATCCTGAGAAAGGATCACTCGCTCATACTAATAACGCTAAAAATGATAATCTCTTCACTATCATTGCCACGATAATGTAATTTTAAATGATTCTCGTCATTCTAATAGATGATCATGATGCTAATGCACCACTGCTACTGGTGAAGTTGAGCTGAGACGATGAAGTTGCAGNTTCAGACACTTCTTGAATGTAACAGATGCTCATTCAGGTGCCTTTTTAATACCGTATGTATTCTGCTCACTTTCTGTTGGTCTTCCATTGCTTTATATGGAAATGTGCATAGGACAGTTCACAAGATCCGGACCAGCTGTTATTTATGGACGTCTCATTCCGGCATTACAAGGTTCTGTTCGTTTTAATTCTTCATGCGCATCTCTTAGCACTTTCAAGTATATTCAGTCATGTTATTGTTTGATTTTTGATTTGATGCATGTATCAGCTCTCGCAAATCGTTTTTTTGTGAAATGCAACAATCGTTTTTGAAATGTCGTCGAGCTAATTACAATAAAAATTATTTCGGCAGCTGCTCACAGAGCTGAAAACGCTTCTCAGTAATCAAATAGTACATTCCAGGATTGGGTGTAGCGATGACATGCATATCAATGTTGATAGCTATCTATTACAACGTTATAATTGCATGGGTGATGATCTATCTGTACACCATTATCACTGGACAAAGTGGCACTTGGACAACATGCACAAATTACTGGAATACACCAGGTTTGCTGAAACTTAGATTTAATCGTTTCAGTGCGGCACCAGACCAAATTGAGACATTTATAAAATGAGAATGAGGTGAGTATTACGATCAAATTTTATTGTTAGGCTGTGTTACACATGCTGACGAGGATGCGTGTCAAGCGATATGGCCGGGAAGCACATATTTCAACGGCACTTGTCATGCGTTTAATGATAGCAGTTCGGGCGATCGAGAGCGTTTCATTCAGGAACATGCACTGATGAGTCCGATTGAGGAATTTTACGAGTTAGATTTATCCTTAATCACGGTTTTTATGTCAAGTTTATGCCATTTAAGAACTGGTTTTACGCAGATGATATTGGTAATTTTCTTGCCATTTTAGAAATCAACTATCCATCGATAAGCATGCATCGGTATCTGAAATACTTTTTTATCGGAAAATTCAAATTCTCTTATATCAATTAGTTGTGACCTCTAATAACCCAACGAACAGTAGTTCAACGATCAATTAACTAGTGCTCACTGAAATCATCGGCGATCATCCCCGCATGAATTCATTGAAAATTTTCAGTCGCTACGTTTTGGAACGGAATGATGATATGTACGACTTAGGTGGAATGAACTGGAAAATGGTTGTATCATTAGCTCTTGTCTGGATTATAACAGCGCTATGCTTATCGAAAGGTGTCAAGTACATTGGACGTATTTCGTTTTTCACGGCAACATGCCCGTATATAATCATTGCGATTTTGTTCGTTCGTGGAGTAACGTTGGATGGTGCGAAACAAGGAATTGATTACTATTTATTGAATCCTGATTTCAGTTACTTGGGACGGATAAGTGTATGTTATTTTCTTATGAGTGCTCTTCCAGTGAAGAATCTGGGCTGGATACCAACCGACATTCCTGATGAATTCACTCAGTTATGTGTTTGCATAGTGACATTTATTTTGGTTGCTTACAGACGTGGAAGGCAGCCGCAACACAAGTCTGCTACAGTTTAGCAGTTGGTATGGGTGGTATCATATCGCTTTCGAGCTATAACTCATTCAACCATAACTGCTTCCGTGATTCGATTATCTTGTGCTTATCCGATTCATTCATGAGTATTTTCGGAGGAACGGCCGTTTTTAGTGTTCTCGGATTCATGGCAAAACGTATGAATGTACCAGTCAATCAAGTCCTTCAGAGTGGTAACTTCTTACGTTCTCAAATTGCGCAGCTGAATATCGCTGATAGTATCTTCTAAAATTCATCGCACTCAGCTACCAAGAGCATGCGTCTATACATAGAGCAATTTGCAAAATCGTTACTTTCAGAACATATGCAGTAAAGTGAGAATCATCACCTGGCAACCTTCTTTAGTTGACATTTCAGTTTCCCTTGCTGTCCCGGTGGTCAATTATTAGTGTGAAATTTTAATTTACGGAAGGAGATTTCAGGGACTGGACTCGCCTTTGTGGCATATCCCGAAGCATTTAACAAAATGCCGCTCTCATGGTTTTGGTCAACACTCTTCTTCGTCATGTTGGCAATCCTAGGCCTCAGCACTCAATTTGGTGTTACTGAGGTTTGAGTCACGCTTCTTGCATTCGTCCATTCAAAAGTTTCCCGATCAAAATTCCGTATCGCTCACTTATGCAGCCACTGTGTTAGCGATGCTTACGTTAAGGGTGGTTCTGCAGTGCTGTTGTGCTCTCC